AGTAATTAGATTAGATAGATCTAATAAAGGAATTATTTATTATAATAAGTTCTGCTATTATATATTCTATAGGCTTATACTTAGTTCGAGATATAATAATTTATAAAGAAAGTAAATTCGTAAAAAAGAGAATAATTTATAAGATAAATAAGTAAGAGTTATTATATTTAAGATAAAAATTTCGTCTATAACGAGAAATTTAGGAAATGAAATTTAAGAAGTAAAATATCGAGATTTCGAGAGAATTTAATAGTTCTAAAGCTTAAGAGCCCTAGATATTTAGATAGTTATAAGAAAGGTAATTTTTTTATAAAGAAAATAGTTTTATAAAATAATTAAATAATTAAATAATTAATTATTTAGTAATTAGTAAGAATTAGTATTTTTTCTTTTTATAGAACTAAATTATAGGCAAAGGTAACTATTATTTTTCCTTTTTAATATAGCTTAGTTAGGCCTTAATAAGATTAAGTATTTTTCTTTCTTTATAAAACCGAATTATAAATAAAGGTAATTAATAATTATTTCCTCTTTAATATAGAATAATAGCTTTACTTCTAAGGAATCGAATCTTAAGTAAATATAGCTTAATTCTTCTTATTATCTGATTTATATATATAAACTAATTAGTATTAGTTTACTAGAAATATATAATACTATTATATAGTTATAAAATACTATTTATATAAGTTAATAAAGTTATTATTTAGAAGTAAGAATTATAGTATTATAATATTAATATATAATTCCTAAATCTACTAAGTCTAAAGAAGTCTAGTTTACTAGTTAAGTTACTAATAAGACGCGAGGTTATATAACTATATCCCGTATCTTATATATTATTACTTATATTCTATTACTTATATCTCATTACCTATATCCCGTATCCCGTATCCCGTAACTACGCACGTGACTTCTAAAGAAATAGTAATACTAATAATAAATTTTTTTTTGAAAAATTAAAATAAATTAGAATAGATATTATAATAAAAGCTTTTTACTATTTTATTTATTTATATAAAGAAATCAGATTTCCGGTTTTTTTCTATTTCTTTTAAAAGATTTATTAAGTTTATAATTACCTAAAAGTAATAATAAATAAACCTATAATAAAAATTAGTAAACTTAAAGAATATTTAAATATTATAAAATAATTCTGGTTCTAGCTATTTAATAATATTATAAACTTGTTTAGAATCTATATAAATACTTTCTATTTTAATAAAAAAGCATAAAAATTCGATTTTTTTAATATTAAACTCGTATTTACTAAATTTATAAAATAGGTTATTTTATATAATTTAATAAATATTTAATAAATATAATTATAGTATTTATTTTTATTTTAAAAATAAATAAGAATATTATCTAAATAAATATATATAAAATAATCTAGAAGCCTTATAAATATAGTATTAATATATATTTAAAATATAACTAATATATTAATTAGCCTAAAAGACATTATAAGATATTTTAAAAGCTATTTTTTCTTTATATTCTATATAAATTCTTATCTAATAATATATATTCTTGAAATCTAATTTTATAAAGATTTTGGTTTCTAAAACTAATTAAAAATTTTATTAATAAAAGAAAATAAATACTAATTTTTAATTATAACTTAATTATATTTATAATAATTAATATAAAAATATAGTTTTCTATTTTCTTTAGAAATAAAAAAGATAAGTATTTCTATTAGGCTTTTATTAGGTTTTATTTAATTTTTATAAAATATAATATTTCTAGTTAAATTTCTAATAAATTATATAAAGGTTTATATGAAACCGTATTATTTATATTAATAAGATATTTAATATTATTAAGATTAGGGAATTTCAATACTTTATTAAAATTAAAAATCTTTAAAAAAAAAATATATTTATTATTCCAGAAATAAATAAATACTTTTAAGGTCTCTTTTTAAAAAATATTAATTTATTATATTAAAAGATCCTATTTAATATTACTAGAACTATATAATAAAATAGAGATCTAATAATTATTATAAATATATAAAGCCCATTATCTAGAATAATTATATTTATTTTTAGTTAAAAATAAAACTTGAAATACTAATTTAGAATATTAGTTAAGTTTTTTACTAAATTCTTTTAGTATTAAAATTTTAATATTATTAGACTATATAAGTATATATATTTATTATTTCTTAATATAGTTTATATATTATATAAGAGTTATTTTATAAAGTTCTATACTAAAAATAAGGCTATAAAAACTAACATTTTTATATTTATAAAACCGGAGTTTAAAAGAATATATTTTATTATAATTATTTATAATAAATATTTTAAGATTATAGACTTAATAGACCTTAAATCTATGTCTATAAAAGGTTATGAATTCTTAATTATATTTAGCTAAAATAATAAATCCCGGCTTTAAGCCTAATTATTATTAAAGAAATTATAATCTAATCCGGTATTATTAAGTTTATTATATATTTCTAAAATATTTATTTCTAGCTATATTAACTTTATTTAAATAGTTATATAAAATAATATACCTGTTTTATTATAGCTAAAATTATTAATATTTAAGATTTAGTTTTTTTATTCTTTTTTTTTAAAAGAGTTTTTTTTAAAGTATTTCTCTATAGTAATAATATTAACCTGCTTTTATAAATACTTTAATTCTTTTATAATTTTGGCCTTATTAAGGTTTTATTAAACCTATTTAATATATTTAAAATATTTTGTATTTTCTAAAAAGTATTTTTTCTATTTATAAGTCTAATAAATTATACCTAAAATAGAACTAATATTTTATTAAGGCCTTAAAGAAGCCAAAGTATTATTTAAGAGTTTCTTATATAATTTTCGGAATTTCTTCTTTCTTTTTTAATAGCTTTATAAATCAGAATTTACTAAATTAAAGTTTTTAAAAATAGAATTACTTTTATGAGATTTCTTTGTTTTTGCTTTCCTTAATTTAGAATAAATAATATATTCTACTTTTTGAGCTTTTTTAAGCTATTTAGAAATAGATATTATTTTATTTTTTTAAAAAATAAATATAAGTATCTAATAAGTCTTATAGTTAAATAAAGTAATATTAAAAATCCGAATCCGGTTTCTTTTAAGATATAGATTTTAGTTAATTTCGAGATTAATTATCCGAATATATAACTTAATAATTATTTTACTATTTTTTTAATAAAGATTTCGGAATTCTTTAAAGGCATTTTACTAACGGATTCAAAATACTTAGAATATATTAGCTAAGTAGGCCTTGAATTATTTCTAATAAACCTTATATAATAATAGGCTTTACTTTATTATAGCCTTTTAAATATTATAAGATTTATTTCTAAGAGTACTTATAATAGAATTAATTTTAGAAAAGTATCTATTATAAGTCTAAAATTAGATTCTAAAAACTGTTTTTTAAGAAAATACAAATATTTTCTATTTCTTAAAGAATTTTCTATAATATAAATCAGGTATCCGGATTTTAAAAAGCTTCTTTTAATCTAAATATATTTTTAGGATATTATATAATAGCTTCTAATAAATAGTATTAAGATTACTTTTAAAGCTTATTATATTAGAAAAAGAAATAAGTTCTAATTTTGTTCTAGAAAGTTCTCTAATAAGAATTACTAAAAAAAAAAATAGAATGAATTTATAAATAGAATTTCTATAAAATATAATAAATTATAAGGTATTTATAAAAATACTCTTATATTATTTTAATTATAGGATATATTAGTTAATTATATTTATTAATTCTTGCTTTTATTAAAGTACTTTAATTTTAATATATAAGCCCTATTTTATAGCTTAAATAATAATAATTCGGGTATTAATCTTACTATCTTAATTATTACTAGAATTATTTCCGTTATTATTACTAGCTCTCGAAGACTCCTAAAGAACTCTATTAAAAGTATTAGACGAGCCTTTACTATTACTCGTATTAGGGTTAATCTAATTAACTTCCTTTATAGAAATAGCTTTAGTAAAGAATTATATATTTTATAAATTTCGAGATATAATTACTTATTAAATTATTTCCTTTAAGAATAGAAAGATTAGCTTATAAGATATTTATTAGCAAATAATAAGATAATAGAATAAATTAGTAAATTATAAAATTATAATATTAAATTTAGTATAGAACTAATTTCTATTTCTTTTATAAGGTCTAGAGAAGCCTTTTCTAAATAGGAGGCCCCGATAAGATATATATAATTCTATATATTATATATTAGTAAACTAATAATTATTATAATTAGAAATATAAAACTAGTAATTTTAGATAATTTAATTAGTTTATTTACTAAAGCTAAGTTTAATTAAATAACAAGAAAGAAATTAAAATAAACTTAATATTAAAACTAATATTAAGATTTTTATTAGCTTATTATAATAAGTCTTATATTTAAAAACAAATTAAATCTAATAATTAACTAATCTTTAAATTAAAGCTTAAAAACATTTATTTTTATATTTTAAAGTAAAGTAATTTATTAATAACTAATTAAATAATATAATTACTTTTTTAATATAATTTAAATTAATTATATTATTTAAAAACTAGTATAAAAATTAGTTTATTAATTAATTATTTAGAATAGAGAATGAGAGAGGCAAATTCTGCCGGGACCCTTATTATTATTAATAATTAATAATTATTGACTAATTCACGCGGTTATTTATTTGTTACTACCGAGCCTATCGCCGCCCACCCTAGTGGCGCTCCTTGATGGATTCTGCTGTTAGTTTCATCTTCGAACCCGCCTTCAAGACCCAAAGCAGGACAAGAATCGTAAGGTACTCTGCATGGTCAAGTCAGTTGCATGAGACTAGGCAGTCACACTTTTTAATCTTTGATGTATTCTCCACTTTCGCAAGATCGGAAATGATTGCTTTAATCAACTTGCCGGAAGTCTAATCGAGTTCATCTTTCTGCTCGTTATTTCACTTATCAATCTCTTGGCTTAAATCGTCTTATTCCTTGTAAAGTTGGGCGTAGTATAGAAGATCACTGCCGTCGGGCTAGTGACACTAGATAAAGTTGTCCATCAGATATGCGATACGGTTTCGCATTGAGCTCTGAGCCTTTTGCGGTCCCAATCCTTTGCAGCTCTGGTATGATTACAAGTTCCCAACCGCCAGCTTTTGCTTGCTGAATTTTTTCCGTTACTGAAGTCAAATGTGGCCCCCTTATGACCACTCTAATTCTGCATCGCTGTATTCCAAATCCAAGCCACACGTTAACCGCTTTTCCAGGCAACTCTTCCAAGGTGCGCAGATAATGGCCATCGTCCCGCCGTGACCCTACGATTGCCTCTAGAGATGATGTGAGTTCCTTCTTTAGACTATCTATCGCCCGCTCGAACCCGGCCTTGAGTCTCCCCCGAGGGTCCAATTCGGAAACGGTGGCCTGAGTCAACGCTGCGCGACCTTCCGTAATGTTGACGTATCTCCACCGCTCGATCTCTGCTGAAGGCTTTGGCCACGTGTATACTCCTCCTAAAAGAAGGCACTATTAGCCCCATACCGGAAAGAAACGGGAAGAACCCATACCAATGTCTTCCTCCGCCTTGATTTCGGAGTCCAAATTTCTCCATGCAGTCTCCAATTTCCGACCCTCTTCCCCAAATGGCCGGAACGGGCTGGTAAATATATATTGCTGCAGAATCCCCCAGATCATGTCCTGTAAAACTTGTTTTTTGAATGACTGTTGATGTGGCGACATGACTTTCAAGGCTTTCTGTGTCCACACGCTTTGATCGTCCCTCCATTCTACGCGTGCCAGGGTCTCAACATCCTGCGAAATTTCGCGAAACATCGATTTTATATCGCGATCTGTCGTCGGTGTGAAGGCATCCCGCTTCAAAAGTGCACCACTGTACTCCTCCGCATCGACCCGGAGCTGCTCTATAGTAACCAGGGCGTCCTGTTGGAGCTTTTTCAATTGGTTTATCTCGTTTTGCATACTTTGTTCCGTCTGCAACTTCTGAGATCTGACGCTGTTAAGGTCCGAGCGAAGGCCATTCTCTGTTGCTTGCATGGTTTCAATCCGGTTCTGCAGAGTACGAACTTCCCTCTTTTGAAATTCAATCTCCGCAGACTTGGTATGGAGATTTTCCACCATGGTCTGGATCTGGGATGCTTGGTCTCGAAGCTGATGCTCCCGGTCCGAAATCACTGACCTGAGGTCGTTATTTGCTTCACGCTCTCGGCGTATCGCACCAGCTTGGTCGTTCGAGACACGCTCTTTTTGTGACAGCAAGTCTTTGATCTTCTCTTTCTCGCTGACTACGTTGGCGAGCTTCGCGGACCGTTCGCGCAATTCACTCTCTAGACGCTCGTTCTTCTTCTCGGCTGTAGAGAGTTCTGCTTGTAGCTCCTTCTTTTTGGTCTTGACCAACTTTTCCAGGCGATCATTTTCTTGCGTCAGGTATGCAAGGTGTGGGCTTGGAATTTCGATAGCCGTACTTTCTTCTCCCTGTGGTGGCGCCTGCCCACTTGGCTGGCGGTCTTCGTTGTTCCCATCAGGATGCTGTGCGTTCTGGCCATCATCGCCCTTGCCGAGCCTCTTGCCGGGGCTGTGCACGAGTCCCGAGATCAAACCAGCGACGCTCTCTAGGGCTTTCGACATAAAGTACTCCAGAGGCTGAGGTATCTATATAAGTTAGCCACCCAGTATACGTACAAAGCGCGCACAGCATACTTTTCAAACTACCGAGAGTACAATTCATTGAACAGAAAATTACAGAGTTTCCCGCCAAGTAAATGGGTTGCAAGACTGAGGTAAATTTGCAAGTAATGGATGTTGCGAGGGCTAGTGTTCAACCAGCATCATAGAACGTTCAGCCTTCAGAACTGAACGCGAGGACCTGGCTTCTTGACGTATCAGTGGTGCTAGGTGAAATACGTTGGTTTGACCGAGTTACCCCTCCATATGTGACAGCGCCATTCGCATGACCTTGCCCGGAAGCATGCACGAGCCGGTTAACATCGAGAGCTGAAGCCTGCATATGCAGAACGCGCAATTTCTGCTGCTGCTAAAACAGCGTGTTTTTCTCGCACCCGGGGAGCAAACCCCATGTCCAGAGTAGCATGCATGCATTCGATTTTCATGCGAGTGTCCGAATGCGCAAGACCATCAGGCGGCAAGGCTGAATTCCACAGCCGTCTTGCGACCCAAGGCTTCAGGTTAGCTATCCTACGATATTCTCGCTCCAGATTGTATATGAGTCTTGAGTTTGAACCTTATCCTACCATTTTCCACTTTATTTGGGGAAGAATTTTAGTACAAAGCATCCTAGAGGTGTGGGAGTAGCTTACTGGGCAGTCGACAACAAATATGGCTCCCCAAGATCCTAGCCTGCAGGATGATCTGCTGGAAGGCTTTGAGTCTGTACCCGGTTCTTTTGCGCCGCAACGATCAGAAAGCAGGAGTACGATGGGAGGGCGCGATCCTCCAATATCGTACCCCTCAACTCCGACGGGTGAGGTACCCCTGTTCCATACTCGTACGAATACAACCAAGTCGACGAAAGGCAAAAAGTCATTTCCTCGTCCTACAGGTACTTCAGCCTTGAATCGACTTGTCATCGCTGTCGATTATGGAACGACATTTACTGGTAAGGAGCCACCTTCGCTCTGAAATGAGTTTCCTGTTTGATATTGACTGCGATCAAAGGTATTGCGTTCGCTACGCCAACCTCCCCTTACGCGAATCTCAAGGACATCAAGGTCTTGGGAGATTGGCCCGCTGAGATGGGAGATTATGGGAAGATACCGAGCGTCATATCCTACTCCCCATCGACCGATGCCGGTGAGTTGCAGTGGGGTGCGAGTATCAGCCCGAATGCTGTGACAATGTTTAATACAAAGCTGGAGCTCGACGTGCAGGATAATAAGAGCGACGAACTTGACCTCGTCTTAGCGGTGCTTGATGGGGTGGATGATCTCAATTTTGAGACCGTAAAGGCATCTGCGTCAGATCCAGAATATACTCCCAAGACTCCAGAGCAAATTGTGGCGGACTACCTAGCTCATGTCTTTGAGCACCTGAACCACGAGTTCGATCATATAGGAACCCGTTTGAAAGGGCAGTTACAGGTTGATGTCGTAGTCTCTGTCCCAGTGGTCTAGGTTTCCTCCCAATGGATTTGCTCGAGCTAATTGGAGAGCAGGGTTGGTCATATCGAGCCACAAATTCAACACTGCGAGCGATTGCCTCCGCGGGACTCAATGAATACTCATACCCATCACTCAGAGATGTAATCGTTGTCACCGAGCCAGAGGCAGCAGCAATGTTCACAGCACGTTCTTTAAAAGAAGACAAGAATACCGACTTCCTACAGGTGAGACTTTTGGTTCCTTCTGAATTACGCGTATGATCGTGTCCTTCAATCCACAAGATATTGCTGAATTGTCCGATCTCAACTTCTTACTAACATTGACAGCCTAATGATTGCTTTATACTTTGCGATGCAGGCGGTGGAACTGTCGTGAGTCCATTATCTTTCTCCTGGTTAGAGAGGCTGGTGATTGACTGGCACGCAGGACGTTGTTACCTACAGAGTTATCAGCCTTGTCCCTACACTTGAGCTCGAAGCAGTGACGGTCGCGACAAGTCTAAAACCTTTCCTAAATATCGGCTACGACTTTTGCTAATTCTTAATTGCAGGCGCAAAATGCGGTGCGACGTTTATTGATGCAAAATTCAAGCAGTGGCTCAGCTACTATCTCGGGGCACATTACCTGGTTCTCGATCCACACTTTCGCAGACGAAGAGAAGGGAGGATCACAGAGAGTGGGGATATGAGGCATATAATGCGAACTTTTGACGAATGGAAAAAGTCGTTCAGCAGTCAAAGCGACGACATCAAATTCTACGTGCCCGAAGGCCCGCTGTGGGAAGTTTCAATAAAGGGAAAGTTACAGGAAGGTGAGCTTACTATTCCACGGTTTGTGAAGACCCCGTTCCATTCTTCTGCAAAGGCTAATAGATATATCAGCGACCATATGATGAAGTTTTTCAATCACTCCGTGAACAGCGTTCTGGCACTCATCAATGGTCAAAGAATGCAAGCAGAGGACAAAAGCTACCGTGTAAAGGTAGGGAACATTTATGAACCAGAAACTTCTCCAGCTTACACCGTGTAGAGCGTTTTTCTAGTTGGAGGATTTGGGGAATCGCCCTATTTGCAGGAGGAGTTGACAAAGTCCTTGAACTATCGCAAAATCGCCTTGCGCCGACCAGAATCAGCACTGGCGTATGTTACCCCACAAATTACTCGCATCTTATCTGACATACTGCTCCAGATGGACAGCCGTGGTCCGAGGTGCGGTTATGTATGGCATTGAGAAAGCCCACCACGAAAAGCTGAAAATCCCCTGGAAGTTCAAAAGCAGCTACGGTATCATGTTAACAGAGCCGTTTTCGTTTAATTCTAATATCAGAGATCGCCGCTGGGACAATGTGACGAACATGGCCATGGCTGATCAACAACTCAGCTGGTTAGTTCGTCGAGGGGACTGGATACTCCCAGACTCAAAATCGGACATCGACACCCCATTCGAGGAACACGTCGACAAACATTTTGTCTGGTATTATTCCGGTGTAGATGAACGGAAGCTCAGTATACCGGTGTACGAATATGGACATCCAGACGACATTGTGCCAATGAGATATGGCTCAGGCCGACATGGTATATACCGATCTTCTTTGCAGACATCGAAACCTAGCTAAATCATATAACTACAGAGCTAGTCAAGGTCGCCTCACTCCAGTGCGAGTTGAATCATGTTCCATTAGAAGAGTTTGACAGATGCGAGAATGCCAGGACGCGGCAACCGTACTTCGCTGCAAATATGACATGCAGGTTCATTCTTTTGAGCTCGTCGTTAATTGCAGAGGTCTATTGTAATGAAATAAAGCTGTGCAGTCAAAAGGTTGTGGATTTCGATGTAGGAAGCTCTAGACGTTAATTTATCAGCATTACACAATTCGAACGTATTGTTTCCACCGAGCTTGACCTGGCATGTCGTCGACAGCCAAATCTCCACGCAGTCTAGAATCCAATCAACCACGCGAAGATGAAATTATCTCTGATACTCCACCTACGCCTTCCGAATCTAAAGCCGTGTTCCAAATCCGGCCAATGTCGACGAAACCTCTGCCATATCTGTCTCCACGAGAAACTCAAGGCTCGGAAATCCAGTGAGGAAACGAACAAGAGGTGAAGCGGCAGCCGGAGCTTGTTGATTTGGCCGCACATATAAACCACCAAAATGAGACTATGAAGACTGAAAGGGAGAGACGCCACCAGGACGAGATTCGATCTCTCAGCCACTCGCATCGGGGACTTCTGGCCCGAAAAGACCAAGAGCATGAAATGGAGATAATAAGAGAGCGTAAAGGGGAGGGAATGGGGCCAATGGAAGTGACGAGATACTATGAAAACGAAATTCGATTTCTCATTGGCTCACACAAAGCGATTCTGGCCTAAAAAGGCCGAGAGCATAAAATATAATTAATTATTAAGAATTATAGTATTATAATATAAAATTAAAGCTTATTTTATTCCAATTTAAATATTACCTTATTATAATAGGTTTAATAGCTAGTATTTCGCCTTTATTTACTTTATTTATTTTTATAAACAAGTATTATTATAAGGGTTTTAGCTTTTCTAATTATATAATATAATTATATAATATTTAAAATAAATAATATATATTATTTTATTTTTATTTTTTAAAAATTAATTAATTTTTATATTTTTTATATTTTAATTATATATTATTTAATAAAAATAAAAAGAATTTATTATTTATATTACTTTTATATAAGTTTTATATAATAATTAAAAATATTTAATTATATATAATTAAAAAATATATAATAAATCTCAAATATTACAAATATTAATTAGAGAAATTAATAAATCTTTAATATTATAGGCTTTAAACTTATAAATTACTAAATATATATGTTTTATTAAAAGCTTCTATTTAAAATAAAGAAATTTAAATCTTATAAAAAATATAGAAATTAGTTTTATATTACATTCAATATTATAATATTATAATTTATTAATAAATAATTTATAAATTATTATTAGTTTAATAATTAATTTTTAATTTAAAAATTAATAATTAAATTATAACTAATTAGAAATTAAATGTAATTAAATATAATTTTTTTTTAATATACTAATAGAAATAATAATACTAAAAAATTATTAAAAAAAAAATTAAAAAGAATATTTATTTCTAATAAAAGAAAATATATAATAATAGAAAATTAATTTCTTATATAAGAAACTTATAATAGAAAAGAAAAACTAAAAGACCTTATTATATTTACTAAATATTTATAATATTAAATATATTTAATTAAAGCTAGAATTATAAAATTAAATTCGAATATTATATAAAGGTTTATTAAATAATATAATTAGAATAATAAAACAAAAGTATTAGAACTAGAATATTACTAATTTATTAAAAACTACTAGTTTAAAATTAGTAATATTCTTTAATAATATAATTATTAAATTATTTAATAAATTAAGAAATTAGTTATTAATTAAAATTAATTTCTTTAATAATTAATTAATATTCTTTTATTAACTAATTATTTTATTTATTATATTTATAAAGTATTAATTAGGGAATTAAAAGCCTAATTTGGATTTATTAAAAGCTGGATTTTAATTATATATAATAAACTAATATAATAAAGAAATTATATATTTAAAAAAATTATTATTATATAATTTATAAAATTAAAAAAATTAGAAACTTATTTAAAAACCTAAAAAAGAATTTAAAGAATTTCTTTTTAAGATTTATTAATATAATTATCTATAATTTAAAAGAATTATATATTTAAATGAAACTAAGAATTTTTTTCTTATATATTATAATTTTTAGCTTTTATATATATTTATAAATAGAAAATAAATTATATTTTAAATTACTTATATTATATTTTATATATTTAGGTTTATAATTAATATTTCTATTTTAGTAAAATTAAAAGTCTTTTTAAAATATATTCTATATATTAAATATTAAATAAGAAATTAGCTAATAAGAAATATAAGTTTTTATAAAAATTGAATTTTAATATTAAATTTTTTAATAAAAGAAAATATATTCGAAAATTTTCTAATTAAAAATATAATTTATAAATTAAGAAATATATTTAAAATACTAGAAATTATATATAAATTTATTATTTATTATTTTTATAAGTCTAGACAATATTTTATTAATTTCTAATTAGCCTAAAATATATTTGAATTTATTAGAATTATATTTAGAAATTATTTTTTTATAATTCTAATAGCTAGAAATTTTTATATTATATTAAATAAAATTAAAATTAAAATTTAAAATAGATTTCAAAATAGAAATATATTATAATTATATATTTAAAATTAAAAAAACGAAATTTTATTTCTTATATTTATAAATCTTTCTATAAATTTAATTAAAACTTTATATTATTTATTAATATTTTCTATAATAATAAAAATAATTATTATTTGGATTTATATTTAAATAATAATATTTTATAAATAGAATGACTAATATAAATATAAGAAATATTATAAAAATAATAAATATTTATTTTATTTTATTTTTAAATCTTAATATTATTATTTTATAATTTATAAAATAATTCCAGATATTAAAACTTGTTTTAAATAAAGTTTTATATTTATAAAAAGCCAATTTTTATATAATTCAGCTATTTATAAATTTACTATAATAATTATAAATATATTTGAATTTATAAAAAGTAAATTATAAATCTTTTATTAAATAATAATAATATTTTTAGCTTTTTTCTAATTTTTCTAATTAATAATATAAATAAAAGAAATTTTAAGAATTAATTAGAATTTAAATTAAATACTAGATTATATTAATAATTTCTAATTTTAATACTAATATTATAAAATTAAATATAATTTTAAATAAGCTTTTTAAATAAATTATTTAATATATAAATTCTTATATTTTTTTATTTAATATAATTTAAATTATTTCTTTAAATAAAATATATAAAAAAAACTTTTTATTATAACTTTTTTAATATTATATTTATATAATATAATTAACTTTAATTATTTTTATATTTAGAAAATAGAATTAGTAAATTATATTTATTATTTAATATATTTTTATAATATATTTATTAATAGTATTTTATTTTTAATATAATTATATATTAGAAAACTAAGGAAATAACTAAATTCTATATTCTTAAATTTTAAAGTTTTAAAATTTTATATTATAAAAAGCTAATTAATATATTATATAAAAATATTATTTTATAATTTTAAATTATATATTAAAGATTTAGTCTTATAAATATATATTTATTTTAATAAAATAGATATAATAGTTTATAAACTATAATTTACTTTTTTATATTTATAATATTTATTATTTTTAATTATATTAAAATATAATAAATAAATTTATACTATTATTTTTTAGAATTTATAAATATAATTAATTTATTAAATCGCGAAAAATACTTATAAATTTAAAAAAATATATAAAAGAATTCGGCTATAATTATTATTTAATTAAATATTAGAAATAATATAAATAATAATTTCATAATTCGGGTTATTTTTATAATATTTATTAATTATTATAGAATTTAAAGTTTTTAAAAAATACTAATAAATTTTAAAGTATTTTTATATAATATTAAAAAATATATATTATAGCTATTATAATTCCCAGATACCCGATATCTGAGATGCCTTACTAGATACTAGATGCCTCCTAGACATATATAATATAGCTGCCTTACTAGAGAAATATACTTGAAATATACTAGAGATATTTAGAAAGCTAAGCTTCTTTAGGACTAGTATATTATAGGATATATATATTTCTTTATAGCTTCCTATATTCTAGTTTTCTCTTCCTTAGCTTTAAATTGTCTTTATAAGAGACCTTTTACCTTACTTTCTAAGCCCTAAATATTATACCCGTAATAGTATTTAAAGCTTACTTCTTTTAATCTTATAAAGGATTTCAAATAAACTAATTCAGAACTATTAGTAATATAAGTACTACTAAAATAATAGAACCTCAGAAATACGAGTAATAGACTCTAGAATAATAAAAGCAAAAAGCTTTAGAACTCTTAGAGAAATTAGATATTTATATCTTTATAAATATATATTTATAATATATTAGAAATTCCTCCCGAAAACCCGAAAATTAAAGAATCTTAAATAAAGGCTACTCTTTAACTAAGTCCTAGAGTAATAGGTACCTATAGGCTAGTAACCTAACTACTACTCTCAAGCCCTATCCTATAACCTTATAGGCCCTATATATATACTAGTAATAAGATTACTAGAAAGAATATAATAGAGAAAAAGTATAATAAATTAATTTCCTAGAATACTATATAACCAGGAACTATATTAACTTTTACTAAGGCTTCTAGTAAAGCTCTTACTAGTTTAGGTTATCTCATTAGTAGCTTTTCCCGAACTAAATGTCTTATTAGTATTCCTAGAGAATTTATAGACAAGTCTATAGAAATAGAACCCTTTGCTTTTATTATAAAGCTTCTAGAGACTAAAGACTATATTATTACCGGAAAGTTATATAAATAGACTAAGGAACCTAATATTTTACTTTCAGATATTAATATTATTATAAAAGGCTATTAGGAAAATATCTAAAGAGCTATTTTATATAAGAATACCTATAGTTATAATAAAGCTATTCTCGAGAATACTAAGCTTTATAATATTAAGCTCGAGAATAATATTAAATACTATATGGCTATAGTAAATTAGCTTATAATAGCTTTAACTATTTCTATTCTGGCCGCTCTAGCTACTCTAAATTTCTCTTAAAAGAATTCCGAACTATTTCTTATTTATTTCTATTCAGGATTCCCTATATCTTATATTTCTTTTAGAAATACTAGAGTTACTAAGCTTCCAGATCTAATTCTTTTTACTAGAGATTATACTATTTTTAATAACTAGCTAGTTTAGATTAAGAATAAGTTATAAGGAAATACTAATTTATATTTTTTAGAGAATCTTAAGATTATCTATATTTTTAGTAAACTTACTAGTAATACTTTTACTTTAACTAATTCTTATATAAATAAAAATAGTCCGAATTAGTATTATTAGCTCTTAGAGTTCTATTCTTATCTAAAGAAGCTATATTCTAATCCTAATAAGATATAGAATACTTACTATAACTTTAGTAAGCTTTAAATATATTCTAGTTAAGTATTTCAGGAGTTCTATATTTTCTTTTTATAACTATTTATAGAAAGTAGTATTAGTTTTTAAAATATTAAATATAAACTAAATAAGAAGCTTTTACTAAAACTCTAGAAATTAGTATATATATATTATAATAATTCTTTTATTAATACTACTTATTTTACTTAGTATTATATTATTAATAATTAGTAAATTAAGGCTATATATAAGAAGACTAAGAAATAT